ATAGAGCCAGTGTCACTTCAGAAAATTTTGTTTTTGAAAAATAARAACAATAGAGCTCTTGAAGTCTTTGGCATTATGATGCGATAATTACCCTCGGAAACTGGATGTCCCTTAAAGATCATTGTCGCCCTAGAACTGCATTCTCATGCGACTACTTGTTTTTTGGTACATCCAGTTCTCTCACTTTTGATGCAAAGTTATGGCTACATTTCAAGGTGGCACAGGAAACCTGTAAAGGAGACTATAGTCTCTGCTGATGCACCAAATATATCTGAGATAGACCATTGTATGGTACATAATATTGTTGTTTTTTTTCCCCCTCAGCATCCGTGTTCTGAATCTAAGATATCGGCCAACTGCCATTTCAAATGTTCTCTGGGTATTCTACTTTATGTGTTTCGGAATCAGGTAAAAAGACATGAAGGTTGTTTTCTGTATGTTTTTCAAGCTCTTTCTTCTTAAGCCCTGCAAAAAAAAGAATCCCTTCATTATGTTGCTTTTTTTTCAACCAATTTGAAATAACATCTCTAGAAATTTTATATCACAAAGAAGTAGCATATTGTAAATTTTATTACATGTGTATATGTTTGACCAATCTTGCATTTCTTCATCTCATTTCTTCATTCGTTCATCTTTATATTCATGCATTCATTTAATTATTCACTTATTGTATAAGATAATAACTACACTATGACTAACCATTCTTTGAAAATAACTCTATAATTTACTGTAGTATCATGATGTATAAACGCTATATAAAAATAAAATTATTAAATTATTATTATATTAATGGGAGACTTCTATTTCATCTGCAGGTGTCTAATGCTAGCAATATTTTATGTATTAAAAGATATCTCATTCAACCATCATGATCATGTGATAATTCCTAAGGTCCTTTTTCCTACAGGTAAAGTCATTTCTAATAGACAGTTATTAGTAAATGTGGAAATTGTGTTATCCTGGTGGGGGGATGATGTAYACTATCCTAACAGGAGCCTAACTATATGGAGGATCTTATAATATCCTAGCGTAGATAGCGATTCCGTATTTTTCTGATTTGTCTTGAACAGGGTATGGATTTCCACTTTCTAGTGTCTTAAACAGGATCAGGGTTTTAACCCCCCGCGCTATTATATCCTACAGGATCTTGTGCAGGATCCTACAGGATATTACAGGATCCTGCACAAGATCCTATAGGATATTATAGGATTCTGTTCAAGATCTGTGGGATGTTATAAGATCCTGCATGATCCAGTTCCTGTTCAAGATCCTACACGATTCTGCTTAGGATTTTCACCAGGGATATTAAAAAAAACATTATAAATTAATATACCTCATGTTGTCTGTCAGAACAAGTGACTCATTTTTTTGTTTGCTCTCTACACAGAAAATTTCTTCAGGCTATTGGAGGTAATACTGTCATTAAATCCAGCATATTTTAAATTTGTTAAAAAAACAACTTGCACTAGAAACCCTGGAGAAGATAAGCATGCATTAACAAATTTAATGCTTAAAATAATTAATTTCCAGTGCATACTCCAAAAGTCAAAGAGAATTTATATACAAATCAAGCGTTCATTTGCTCCTTATTATAATGACATGAGTGTCAATARAGTAAACGCAGTTTTACCTTCATTGATATACACCTACTTGCAAAAACGTTCATAGAAAATAGGACATTTGTATTTAGTAAAAAGGAATAAACTAAAAAGACAAAAGAAGATCACTGAGGCTGAACGCTCTCTTTTGTCTTTTTTAATTTATTCCTTTTTACTAAATTCAAATGTTCTATTTTCTATGACAACGTTTCTGCAAGTAGGTGTAAATTCGGATATGAATGATTTTAACTTCAGCATCAATCCCTTCTAGATTCTGTTTCTTACATTGACTTTGGAACATCAGAGAAAACACAGAAGTAAAGGTATGTATAATAATTATATTTTGGATTTACATTTTATTACATTTACTTTTTTAAAGGAGATTCATTTGAGTCAGCAGTTTTTGCTTCTCATGATGACTGGATTAATTGTATTTGAAGGCTTTATTCAAGATGTGATGGAAAATTTCAACCAACACAGTTATGAAAACACCAACACATTAAACTGTAGATATATATGTAACAAGGTCAGTTTTTATTGTTTTTTTAAGTTTAGTGCTGCCCAGTTTAATGAAGATTTTAGTTTGTGTTGTTTTATTCGTCACATATTTTTTCCAGTTGTTCTGTTCCACATATTCCGTCTTCATTGGTCAGGCACTGATTGGCTTTGGGTTTTTAGCAGCCACTTTTGTCTTTGTTTTAAGGTAAATCCTGAATCCAAGTGTTTTTGCCAATACAAAAAAAGCCCTTAAGATTCAACGGTATCTGGAATGTCATTGGTTTGATTCCCATCTGAAGCTCAAATAATTGAGTGAGACAGCATCATAATAATCACCACATTGACATGATGGGCTTCATGATGTGTGTGTGTGTTAGTCATTTCWCCCAATCTAAAGTTACAATTTTTGGAATGCTGCAATTGTTTCAYATGGTATTTGAAATTATTGTTTCCTTTAGAGAGAAACCAGATGAATCTAAGCTAACAGCGGCATTGTACTGGACATATAATGGTTGTCTTTGGACTATGAGTATCAGCTGTGTTGTGTTGACATTCATTATACTTTGTACTTCGACAATTCATGAAACATATCAGAACCAAGGTCCTTCTATAAAAACTAAGGTATTCATACAAATATTTTGAAATGTTCATCAAAGTGAATTATGGTGTCACAAAACCATGACAAATAGAATAAAAATACAAACACAGGGACCACTAAACGGAATTAATGCTACTGATTAAAAATCCTCTTTCCTCACTTTTTAATCAATAATACATGCATTTATTGGTAGTAATTATACTACTTAATGCAATTTGCACAGCATCATATTCTCTAGCCAATACATAACATCTACTGCATGTCATTTCATAATTTTGTTCAGCTTCACTACATGGACGGCAAGTTTATTTGAAGTGAAGCAGAGTCCCTAGGTCCCAGATGAATATTAGGCTATAGCAATACAGGTTTTTTTGCTGCTATTGAATGCACTGATTACCTATTATAACTTGTAATAATTTACAATATGATTGACTGAAGTTGTCTATGATTATTTTTAACTAATGTATGCTTTAAATCCTTTAAAGGTCCTGTTAGCAGTTGGTATTGGTTTAAGCTTACCTGGCAACATTCCTGTTTTTATCTGGCAAAGCTGTATYTTCAAAGGTTTGTTGACATGCCTGCATACTTTGGAATTAGTTTACTATTAAAAATAGCAAATTCTTCATTTTAGCATATTAAAACATATCTTGAAATAAACCAATTACAAATCTTCTTGTTGTCCCCTTCCTAAATTCCCTCATCTTTGATAATTATAATATTATTATAAAAAAAGACAATTAACATATTCCACTGGATAATTTTAGTGACAAGTTAAATCATAATTTTAGATTCTTGTTGTCCAAATATTCCTTGATAAATATTCAATCATATTTAGCAACACAAGCTGTGGCAGGATATTATGTTGTACTACCTCTGATGTTTGCTGCTGTGTGTCTCTTCATGGCTGTTCTCATACAAGAATTTAATCGTTTAAAGGAGGTATATTGGACACCATTTGGTCTGGAAAATTTTGTTTGACATGTGAAATGTACGTAAATAAGCAACAACTGCCTTTTTTACACAGGAAGCCCAGTGGAGTGCAATTGAYCAAGCAGAGGCCAATAACAGCATCACAGAGAGCATTTGAAATCCAASCACAATTGTCAATTAGATAAATAGCATGTTAATGTATTACTAAAACTCAAGTGTTGCAGATTCTATCAGTCGGTCTGAATTAAATTTCACTGCAGATAGCRAACTGGATGGACTGATGGAATCTAAGTCCTGCCATGTCCCTTTAATATCTTTTTTATGAAGATTAATGTATTCTGTTAATATGATTTATATTTATAAGGTAACCTTTTTCATATTTTAAGTTTTAATCAAAGGTTTTTCAGATAGTAAATATCCTAGCCTGCGTGCAGCCAAACCATGGTTTGGCTGCACGCAGGCTATAAATATCCCATAGTGTATGCAAAATAATGTAAATAGATTAGTTGCACATACCGATAATTATTTTATAGTAATTATAGCTTTTCCAAGTGTTTGTCAGAGAGGATAACAAATGCACAATCAATAAGTTCTTGTAGTTGCCCATTATCAAAGCTGGTGTTGGTGCCTTGCTGTCTTTAAAGTCTGCACAGTTTAATTATTTTATTTAATGAACTCATCTACTGACAAATGTAGACTTACCAGACACTACCACCAATAATCTACACTGTACCACATTAACTTTCTTCCGTGCATTTCCCGTTCTTTCCAACAATTTTGCTTTAAAATATTATAGGTAACAGTCAGAATGCTTTTGTGTTAAAAATACTAGGAAAACAGGTTCCTATAAAGCTGAATTTTGGTTAATAATTATAATAGTTGTATAGCAATTGATGATAATTTTTTATATAATGATTATATACATTAAAATTTATTGAAGTATTACCTCTCTGGTTGTGATTCTGAAATTTTTTTGAAGSAATAAAGATCCACAAGAAAAATCCCAAAATATATTTTTTATTTCTTGAGTAATCTGCGGTTATAAAGAAAACAAACTTACAAGTTAATAAAATGTTCAGGAAATAAAGTTCAAGTTAGTTTTTGGTCCTCTGAATGGTTGCCTACTTTGACAGTCTTTTGAGTAGACGCTTCTTTTTGGCATCAGGTTTCGATGCTTTTGTTGATTCTTTCTCTTCTCTACAAATCTCTTTGTAAAAGATGGAATTAGGGGGTAGCATTAATGCCCATCCTTGGAAGGGTCGGATAGAAGGCCTGTTATTTCCAATAGCTTCATGAACTGTAAAGCCCACCATGCCAGCAGCTATGGCAGTCATGGTGTCAATTCCTCTGCCTATGTCTACCACCTTCATAGGGACAGCAACAAGACCACTACTAAACTCATACAGATCGTGCCCCACCTTCCCTTCAAGAAACTCTACAACCCAGCCACTGTAACCTGGTATAATACCTGCGATGTATCCTCCWGAACCAAATGGCTCGTTGTATGTCATGATATGGCTCCACCATTCACGGTCAGGTGATCCACGGTAAGTCTCCAGWAGTTTTGTGAARATTTTCTCAGCAAGKGCCCACCACTGATCAGTGAGTTGAAGRTCTTCATTAATTGGCTCCAACACTTTCTTCAAGGACCTTAGCTTAGGYAGCAATTTTTGCCAATCCTCTTCACAGCCCAACATTTCAATGGCAGGAATACCACAACCTCCACAAAGACTATATGCAAAAAATTCCTGGACTGATGACATGAGAGTGATCTGCGAGACCATCTTCTGTACTGCRGTTGTAGTGGAAAAGTCTGCGGTCATGGTGTCCACGTAGTTAGGAACTTTGACATTGGCTGATATCAAYTTGGATATTTCGTCGAAGAAGGAAGAATAATTCACATCGGTTAGTGGCCAGTCAGGAACGTCTACCTCTAGATCGGTATTATCGTCGTGTACGGGAAACCTCAGGGGAGTTTATTGTAATGTAAATTTACCGTATGCAAATTATCCCGACCATAATTCGTGTTCACTTCGTTCTTATATATTAATTATTTAGTGAAATGCTAATGAGAAATTGTTTAAATACTAGAAAAAAGGAGTGCAACCAAGCAAATTCACTCGTGGCGTAACCGGTTAGGTTTAGGGTTAATGATCGGATAGGTCATATTTAGGGTTCGCAGGTTCGAATCTTATCTGCGGGATCAATTTTTTTTCTAAGTGAGGATAACCAAAAACCTCAAAATATTTCTAAGTCCCACTCGTGTGTTCGGAAACATATGACGTACTTGGTTACCCGCTACACGACGATACTACCTCTAGATCCTTCTTTCCTTCGTGATCCACAAACGTCTTACGAACGCTAGGGTTCGCACAGTTAAGATCAATAGCTACAGCAATTCGTCTAATCACACAGAACCACCAGTCATCGGCAGAGGTTCCCAGATTGTAGTGGTTGTTGTAGGCCATTTGCACAGACTCAAAGAAGCCAACATTATGCTTGGAGTACACTTTATCTGAAGAGCCAAGAACCGCTCTTCGGTCTTGAACTACTTCCCTGTATTTCCATCCATACTTAGCAAATTTTTGGGTCTCTCTTTGCTTTTTGGTTTCGTATTCTTTAACATTGTAGCCCAAAACGGACGATGCATCTGTTCGTGTCAAAGTGCCAGTACTATCGTGTCTAGGGCTTTCTGCATGATTCCAGTCTGCAAATATCTTCTGAGGGTCGGTTAGAGCAGGACGATCGTTGGACAATACAATGTGCTTCAAAGTCAAATCTCCTTTGACTTCTCCGGCCATTTCTTCATGTATTTTACGTTAATATTTGGTGTCGTATTGTGACAAGGACGACGAAAAGCTACACGAGCTGTAAAATATGTATGTCCCGTATGTACTTGAAATATTCCCGCCAAAACTACAACCTCGTTCCCACGGCTTCTCTGCGTTTGCACATAAGGCATGGTGGGCATGGCAGAGTTTTTCCACCAATCCTGGAGCGCGTAATATAACAAATATATTATTTCGAAATAACATATACCACTGCAAGAGGACGAAGAGGGAGGGGCATGCGTGGTTTGGAACCACATTTTGGGGAAAGAAAGGCGTCGTTACCTTTGGTTATTTCGAGATATCATTCGGCGCGTTTTCGGAGAGCTATCTTTTAAAAACGATGACTTCGTTCTGTACCTAGGAATCTTAAAAATTAAAAAAAGAAATTGAAAGATCTCTCATCACATTATTGAGATAAAAACATAATTGACAGAACAAAAAAGATATACTTCAAAATGAAAGACTGTATTCATCCAGCAGCTGGTCCTTGGGTCGTTAGGTTTGGATATGGCGTCCTCATTTTATTAGGTTTACTAGGTAAGTTTTCTTTAACCGATTTACACTCTGTGAAGATACTAAACGTGACAACTTCCGAATCGAGGTCTTTTCGTACTTCCATTCGTCTTTTCAATGGACTAGGCAAAATGATTGAGAATTCATAGCTGATACATATTTAGTTATGTCTTTAATAAACGCAAGGTTTAGCCATGAACTACCATTTGCAACTAAATATTGTTATTTTACACTTTACCTTCCTAAAGCGTGATTATAACATGAAATTTGAAAAGAACTAACTTCAGTTTTTGAGCTTGGCCTAACGTTATATCTTTTTTATTATGATCATAAAATTGCTAAAATTGAGTATAAGGATGTACTCCTGATGTATTTCAAAAAAAATAAAATAAATGATAAATGAAAAAAAAATGAAAACGCATTGTACAATGAATTTTTATTAAATACATTCACGCTACATTTGCTACAGTTGGAGAGGCACAGCAAAAAAGTTCGTTTTAGGAAAATGCGAAAACAAAGTCGGGAACCCCCTTTTGAAAAATCCTGGATCCGCCACTGAACTTGACTACGGACAGTTCATTACTACCCTTGAGGAACGCCAAAATCTCCTTGAAATATTAAAGCTTTTTATCGAAAGAAGATTTTTTGGGCGGTTTAATAGGTATTCCTTTTTAATAGTAAAGTACAATGTCACGTTCTTCTTCTCTATGACGTTTTCACAATTAGGTGTATGTATATTTAATAATAATATTTTACAAACACATCAGGCTCATGGGAGACCTTTACCGGTCCCAGAATCTTTTTTTTTTTTTTTTTTTGTTAATTGAAAGAAAAGAAGAATATGAGATATTTTGAGCATAAATCCATCGGACATATGAATATTTTTGATATGCAACACCAAACCTGACAAGGGGTTGTGTGACACGTGCACCTGTTTAATTAAGGGATGTTGTTAACTTGGGCACTGTATATCACATTGAAATATGCTCATTGCAGCTCGTTTATCGAGGATTAAGGACCTAATATTCGAGTAATCGCGTTATAGGGAATCAATTATATTTTAATGGGTTTAGGATAGTATGACCATTTGAGGATGAAAACAAAAAGCTATAAAACATATGACGGTGCTGTTTTCTAGTTTTGGTGGATTTCCTCATAGTCTTATCAATTGGGAAACTCGAAAATTTGTGCATCGAGCGAACTGGTATATACACCTACTTGCAGAAACGTTGCCATAGAAAATTGGAATTTAGTAAAAAGGAATAAATTAAAACGGAAAAAGGAAGCGTTCAACCTCAGTGATCTTCTTTTGTCTTTTTAATTTATTCCTTTTACTAAATACAAATGTCCTATTTTTTACGACAACTTTTTGGCAAGTAGGTAAAGCTGATCAATATTCGACACGAAAACACAAGGCTGACTGACCATTGTTAATGGCAACGCGGAGTCGCATGTATAGAATATGTGAAATTGAAGGATTAGAATGGCACAGGTGATAGTTTGTAATCAGCATCTACATTATCA